CTGACAAGTCTTGGTGGCCACAGAGAAAGCAGGTTTGACTGCCAACCCCCAAAAATGTAGGATAGTTTGCTCAAGAAGTACAATACTGGGGTTATATGGTAGGGAAAGGGGTCATCCTGCCTATGGAAGATAAAGCAGAAAAGTGCATTCAGGGACCATGGCCTCAGACCAAGAAGGAGGGTGTAACAATTCCTGGATTTAGACAGGAATTTAGCCAGGATATTACCAGCAATTTATTTTGCACTTCTCCGCCAAAGCAGCCCCTTTGACAAACCCTAGGCCCTAGCTGTCAAATGGGCAGTTCAGGTCCTATGGCACTATTTATGTGGCACTTCATTTACCCTTGTGACTGACCATGCTCTCCTGCAAAAGTTAGATCATATGAAGGATGCCAACTCAAAGCTCACATGCTGCTACTTCTCTCTACAACCCTATACCTTTACCATCAGGCACAGACATGGGCAACTGGATACTAATGCTGATTTCTTTTCTTTTCGGGGCCTAGATGGAGAATGCCTGGACGAAGACGCCCTGTCCTGACTGGATGGGACCTAGGAGGTGTGTCTGAGGAGCCCATAGGAGCCTGGGACCAGCAAGGGCAACAGCGCTCCATGTCTTATCTTCCGACAGAAAGAGAAATGCCTGATAAAGGACGGGTCATGGAAGGCTTCCCTCTGAAGAAAGATTTGTGTGTAACATTCAGTGGTAACCCAAATGCCGAATAAAGTCCCTAAACACATCCTGGGAGTGTGAGTGATGGTATGGGTAATGGTACGAGGGGGTTGATGTTCACCTTCCTGACTCCGCAACAGTGGACCATACGTATAGAAAAAAGAAAATTCAAAACTTTTAAGTTACTGCTTACTAAACATATTAGGGGATGACAGTTAAATGTAGCTTATAGAACACTGCTGAAATGGTGAAGACAGAGCTGGACAGTGAATCAACCTTTCCACTTATGGAATAAATAGGACATTTTTGGTTTGAATGCCTTGTCTGGACTAATTTATATCCTGACTGGACTCCCTCTCACTATTCCTCATAGGTTTTTTTGACTTTTTGTCATTGACTTTTTTTCTGAGAAGCAACAAAAAAACCATCCGTGGCTAGAAAATCCAAATATTAAATAAGCTATACTAGTTGTTTGAGCCTCTGAAAATACAGTTCGAAAGACTAGACTGATTCTTTCAAACATTGACAAAAAAGCCAATCACTTATGCTCTAAACTTTAGAGGCTAAAGAACGTTGCATGACTTACAGCCCTGTAAAATGTAGATGATTAACAGAACTACTAGGCAGCTTTCATGGATCCTGACATACTAACCTACTTTGAAGGTATTAATGTTGTTGTCACTTCTGTCTCCTTGGCAATTCCAGTCCATTACAACTGCAGTCTCTAATCATGTTAGGTCACCATCTGATTTTTTCATTTGCTTCTGTCACTGTTTGAGTACTGCATAGATTTTTGTTATGTGAATTTTACTGTTATACACCACCTGAGAAGGCTCTTGCCTAAAAGGTGACTCAGAAATATTTAAGTATTTTTGTTCTGAGGATGAGGCATGAAGATCTATGAACTAGCTCATCCATGCAAGATCAATAATGGAATAAACAACTGCATAAACAGTGATATGACTTTTGTCACTCCAGTCCAACATATCTCATGTGTTATCAGCCATGTCCGTGCACACATAACCTTGCAAATGAAAAGCAATCACACCAAATCACTGTTTGGTGAAGAGGAAAGAACAGGTCCTTATTGTGCTCCCAAATAGTTGACAAGCAAGACTGCTGCTTGTTTATAAGCTGTTTTATCAGCTTGGGAAATTATGCAGATTACCTTTCAGCAGAGGATGTTCATGAGGAAGCCTACCTGTGTGTGAAATGCCCCCTGAAACTTGCTTAACCAAGAATACCTGGTTTATGCATTAGCATGGAAAGCTAAATTCAAATGCTGTACCACATATTTGGATTTCAAGACATTTAAGCACATTATTTTAAGTGTGCAATCCACAATATTAAATTTGGATTCAGAAAATTCAAATCGCACTGGTTTAAAGGGCACTATATGTCCTACAGTAGGTTAAACTTCTCAGCTGCCTTGGAACTTCTACATGACTCCCTAGTAAAAGCTGCAGCCACTTCTAGGCACTACTTTTCTCAATTGCCCCCTACCTTCTCTGGCTTTCTCCTCCAACTATATTTTTTATCTTTAGGAAAATCATATACATCTTTAGAAACAAAAAGCCTCCAACTCCCAGCATGCCCCAGACAGTTGTAGGCATGTTTCAGTTGAAACCTGCAGAGAATAATAGGGCAGTTATTTTCTGCCCTGTTCTAACAACAGTCCTTAAATTAACATTCAGCTCTTTTTCTCCCTATTCTGTGTGCCTCCCACTTTTCACAGCTCCCATAACAACGAACCTTAGTCAGTTTGAGGTATTCCCATTGTTCCAGCCTCTAAGATAATATAGGGCTTCTCATATTGCCTTAGACGGAGGTCCTGTTGGTTGGCGGATCGGGTTTCGGAGAGGGTGGATTTGACCTGGTCCTGAATGGTGCAACACTCCCTCTTAGGGATAAGGTCCGCAGCTTAGGAGTACTCCTTGACCTGGAGCTTTCTTTGGAAGCTCAGGTGACAGCGGTGGTGAGGAACGCCTTCCTTCAGCTTCGGCTGATTAATCAGCTGCGCCCCTACCTGGAGTACGACTGCCTGGCGATGGTGACACACGCGCTGGTGACTTCCCGCCTAGACTTCTGTAACGCGCTTTACGTGGGGCTTCCCCTGAAGACAGTCCGAACACTTCAATTGGTGCAAAATAGAGCTGCCAGGTTGCTGACGGGGACGGGGCATTATGCTCACATGACTCCAGTCCTCCGTCAGCTTCACTGGCTTGCCATTGAAGCCCGGGCCCAATTCAAGGTGTTATGACCTATAAAGCCCTAAACGGCTTGGGTCCTGGCTACCTGAACGAGCGCTTACGTCCGTATATGCCCGACCGCCCTTTGAGATCTGCGGGAGAGTCCCTTCTCCGGGAACCCTCCATGAAAGAAATTAGGAGAGTAAGTACCCGGAGGAGGGCTTTCTCTGCGGTGGCGCCCAACCTATGGAATTCACTCCCCAAAGAGGTCCGCCTGGCACCGTCGTGACTGGTTTTTCGGCGCCAGATAAAGACCTTTTTATTTAAACATCATTTTAATTGTTAAAACATATGATCTGGCCAGGGCAACTTCTTCTTCCTTCTCTTTTCTCCTCCTATATTTTTATTTACTTATTTTATACTGATAATTTTAATTTTATATTTGTAACTCAGTGTATTTTTTGTATTTTTGTATTTAATGGTAATTTATTATGTTCTATTGTATTTCAATGTATTTTATTGTGTTGTAAGCCGCCCCGAGGTTTCGGCAAGGGGCGGCATAGAAATGTTATAATAATAATAATAATAATAATAATAATAATAATATAATAATCATTGTGCAGGATAACATTTTGCAAGACTATATTTTAATGAAACAAGGATATAAATAAAATGTATAAAGAGTCACATCAACAAGCTCATAATAGATGGAGAGGCTTCACACTATCTTTGTCATAAGGCATGCCTGGTCGTGTGGCATGAAACACATAAATATCACCGCATAATAAACCAGCTATAGTTCTTTAATACACCAATATGACCATTTAAGAAAATATTTGTGTTTGCTCTGGTATTTCCGCTATATCTCTTTTGCCTCAATGTATGAAAGTCTGCACATAACCCCAACATGTATCCTCCAAGTTTGCTTTGTCACTATGCACTTTCTTCACATATTTACAGAGTAAAAATGTACTGGTCCTACATGAAGTACCTGCTTCACAGGAAAGTATGCAGTCAGTATTTCCTGCAATGTACCTCCTTTCTACAGCCATTGCTTCCATGGCTTAACGTCTCATATGAACATCAAGGAAAAGGATACTTAGGATCTGATCAAGATTATTTACAAACCTAACCCTATCATTGACCGAAAGGTCAGTATCCTGACCTTTAGATGCCCAAAATACACAATATGTAAAGGTTTTCTTTTAAAGGATTTATTCTGGAGAATAACTGGCTACTAATTATTCCAGATGGCACACCTGAGCAGTCCTCAGTTGGCCTTACATTGATCATTAGAGGGTTACACATAACACAGTTAACACTTTCCAATAGGATACTGACGTAAAAAGTTGCAGTGGCTTGATCTTTTCCACTTGCATACCAAAGAAGACGCTCAGAAGCAGGAGGGGATGGTGTGATGTGAACTGCCCCTTTTTTGAGCTGCTGTTATCTGTCAAGTGTCAGCTAGCTTTCTCTGGAATGGTGCCTGGTCAGTATCAGCTACATTTCAAGGATCCACACATGCTGATCTCTAGAAAAGAGGGTTTTCCTCAGGCCTGGTTGTGTTAATGATTGCACAATTTAACCAATGAAAATTCTACCTACTGATTTGTGTATTACTATCCTTGCAGAAAAAAAGTTTCTTCTTTACAGGCCAACAGGCCTTCTTCAGTTAACCAATGCATTAAATTGGGGATTTCTAAAGCAACCTTAGAAAAATAGGCTTTTTTCCTTTTTAAAAGATAGATGAATCACCAGATATACCATTTTAGTTTTTCCCAAAACAGTGTTCCTCAATTAACTTATGTCTTCAATCAAGCGATTTGGACAGGTGAACCCTCTCAATTTTAACTTCCTTACAGTGCAAGCTTACTGCAATGTCTCTCAGCACTTAATACATATGTCTATGTTACAGCCAACAAATTATTGTCTTTCAAAACTCATTACTACAAACTCTACAGGGATCTCGTCATATTGAAACACTGCTTTAATTTCAACCTGACTTTTCCTTCCCTTCATAATAGTCTCCTGCAATGTTCTCCTCAGTATGCCTTCCTCCTTAGCTTTGACTGGTAATAAACAACAGCAAGACTGATAAAACCCCACACAACAATAAACTAACTAGAGGTACCTTCCTACCATTTTAGGCGCCCAAAAGCTTCCCCCTCGGCATAAAATGGTGGCTGGAGTCACGTGGCCCTGCTGCCGCGCGCGTAACTTTCCAACCCTTCGCCTTCAGGGAAAAATAAGCAGCCGCGGCACTTAGCATGGGAGGGTCAGGAGGAGAAACGCGCAGGCGCCAGAATCTGGGTCAACGGACTGTCTACGCGCGCACACGCATGCGCGAAGAAAATCGGTGGCGGCGGTTAGTCCCCGGGCAGTTCCAGTCCGGCGCTGCGGAAGTGAATGGGCTTGTGCGGGGTCCAGGTGGCTCTGGCTCTCTTCGGCCTCTGTCTGCACACAGCGCCCACGAGCTTTCAGGATTCTGGGGTGAGCGAGCGCGGCGCTGGGTGGTGGGGAGAGCGCGGCGCTGGGTGGTGGGGAGTGCGCGTCCGTGAATCAAGGAGGCGCCCTCAGTGAGGCGGAGGAGATTTTAGCTCCTGCGCCACAAGGGCAGGCCCGACATTGGGCCTGTGTTGCCGGAAGGGGGACGGGGAGCGCCCGTTCAGAGCCAGGCAAGGCAGGGCCCGAAGAGTGGGATGGATGCTAGAACGGCATTTGGGGACTGAGGAAATGCAGGGGGATGGCTTCCTTCAGATGCGTGGGTAGGAGGGAAGGAAGGCTACCGGGGTGTGACCGAGCTCCGGTTCCGTTCCAGAACTGCATCTCTGGAAGGCAGAAATTCAGCTGGCAATGCATGTTTGACAGTATTGTTAGGTTCTTTCTGAAGAACGATTAAAGGCGTTGTCCATCGTATATTCTATTCTGCTGGTCAGTAAAGCTACTCCCGATAGCAGAGTGCTGTTAGAAAGTCACGGGGGTTTTCCAGCAGAAGTAACTCTTACATGTCTCGTGGGGCGAGAAGGAGACGTAAAGCAGTAACGTCCTAAATCATAAAGCGTTGCTAATAATTAGTCTTTAACTCCTAATCACGCTGAGCTGAAAATCTGTTTCTGACGTAGAAAAGTGTTCGTGCACATTTTAAGCGACAGTTTATAAACAGTGGTTCAGCTGCTTAGCCTTGAGCAGATTTATCTGTGTTTTGTCTGCATATAGGTATACTTCTGGTGAACGGGGATGGAAAAAATAGTAAATATTGTGCTTTCATGTTGTGAAAAGCTCTTGCTAGCAAGTTAGGATTTTCATTCTAATTGGTTGCTTCTACATTGTGCTTTCTTGTTTGTATATCGTTGCATTGGTATCCTGCTTTTTTCCTCTGTTGATGTGTATGTTACCTAGCTTTATTTCCTTTGCTTTCATAAAAGTGTTATTTTGATCTTTTAGTTACACTTTCCATTGACAGGTTTTAGAAAGGAATCTTGAGTCCTTCACTTGTTGAGTCTTCACTGAAAATTGAAAGGTTTAGCATTAGACTGAACAAACAACAGTAAGTATTTCTTTAAATTTCTAAAACAGGTGCAGCAGAAGCATAGTTATTTGGATTTTTAATGCATTTCTTAGTGTATATTATTGTCTTGGTAAGCTGATTTGAGAGTGGTGATGTTAAACTGAAGGCTATTTTTAGTTTAAATGAGAGATTTCAAGCACTGCATTTTTATCTAGTTTTTAGGAGCTGGCCAATTTTTCTTTAGATGGATTACTATCCTATATGAGAATGATATATCATTTTAGGAATTTTTGTGACACAAACAGTTCAGTGCTAGACACATTTACTCAGAAGTAAGTTCACTGTGTTTATTCTGTAACCTGTATAGAATTGCAACCTTTTTTTTTTTTTTTGCTCGACTTTCTGTATTGCCATCTATTTTGTTATACACAGATGTTAATCTGGACTGAGTTTTACTGAAGTTTGTGGTGTTTACATAACTCTTGAGAATATTGGAAAGTTTTCACATTACCACTTGCAAGTGGGTTAAATTTTCTTGCATTTTCAGCTGGGTATCAGAAAGGACCTGAAATGTCACTTACACCTGCAAAAATTGAATCACCCTTGTAACTTAGATATTTGTGTCTGGTACATACCAGATTGGGCTTGTAAATTGGTTGAACTCACTAGAAATGACAGTTATTTTGAACTGGTAGTTTAAAATCAATATAACATGGGTTTGTCATTATGTATACGGACTACTGTACTAGATGGATCTTTGATCGGATCAAAAATGGCTTTTCTTATGTTCTTATGGTTACAAATATTAATGTAGCCATCATAATCTTCATTTTAATGTTAAAGCAGTAATTACTTGTGGCCTGCAATTGTGGCATACACTGATTCTCGAAATTAGTATTGTTGGGTTACAGCAGTTAAGTTTTCTTGGCTTAAATAGTTGCTAGAATACAAAGGATTATATCTAGTTGCCACCATTTGCCAGCAGAAGGCCACTCGTATGCTGTTTGATGTGAGCTGAGATCTTTTTAAGATCATGTAATTGACCTCAACTTAAAAGTTTGAGAAACTGAAATATTAACTGTTGATAATACCTATGCATTACTAATGGAAGCTGTTAAGTCTTATATTAGTGGTGCATGTTTTCCATTGAAGTTTTTATATTGAGCGCTGAACTCCATTCCATATAGCACCATGGATAGCTTTTATAAACTCAGTAACATTTGGAAGGGATAAGGACTCACTACCCCCTCTTCATGTTAGATGCACAGTAGTCTATTATCATAGAGCAGTATGCCTCTCCTGAGCTATTATTTAGTTACTTAAATGCATTCATCTATTTTCTTGTAGAAAAATTTGGGTGTTGCATGTTGTTTTCCTGCAACCTGGGTCTGTGCTATGTCAAGTTGCCAGTGAAAGTTTATGAAAGAAGACGCCAGGGCAAGGGAGGTTTTATTTGGAGTCTAATACACAGTATAATATATCAGTTTACAGCATGCCACTTTGATTTGCAAATTGTTGCTATTTGTTGGCTGCTTTCATGAGTTCTCTTGCAACTGTCATGACCTGGGTCAGCTGGTCAACTGTGACTAAACCAGTAGCTATTCATCTAAGGTTCCAATGCAGTAATTATTTAGTCAGTTAGAGTCACAGTTGGCTAAATAATCTTTAAACACCCCTTTGAATCTGCGAGTTCTGCTTATTTATTTAGCAGTAATAATTGCAACACCGCCCTTGCAAAAAAATGTAACTTGGTTTCCCTGGGCAAAGGCAGTGGCTTTCTCTGTGCCTGTCAGGGAAGCTGAATACTCAAAAGTGGCAGACTCAATGCAAGTGGCAGAACTCAAAAGTGCAGTTCTTAAATTCTTGCATGTTACAAGAATTAAAATTCATTCTTAAATTTGCTTTAGCAAAATAAATTAAAATTTCTTTGCTGTTTTACCTAGCCTAGAAGTGCAAGCAGACAGATGTGGGTGATTGACTCATGGCCGCAGATAATCCAGTTCATTCATCCAGTATTAACTATAACTTGGACGCTTTCCTTAGGTAAGAGAATGCTGAATGAAGATGTATTGCATAGTCTGGGTTGGGTTTAACATCACTATGCTATTCTTATATGCATCTGAATATTAAGAACATTGTACTTCCTGCAAGGAAATGTGCATGCTACATGTGCTGTGGTCTGTTCTGTTTCTAGCTTTGTAGGTCTCTGGAAAAGAATGATTAAGCAACCTTTTCCTTGGAAATAATTGATACTGGAAAAGTATTTTACTTCCTGCAATGACACGTCCCATTTTATGCCCATCTTTAGTTAATTCAGTTCCAGGTGTCTAGCGCTTAATGTAACAAGTATTACAGTGAAAGGGACTATAATAATAATCTTTGAAGTAAAAGTATATTTAATAGGAAAGTAATTAAAATGTAGATTTTGGCTTTAAAGAGAAGGGCCAATTTGAGGAGGCATTTAGCAGTCCCTCAGTAACACATTGAAATGGTCTCCTGGTCTTCATTTTCCAGTTTCTGTGTTTTAGTAATATTTATGTAGCCTCTTTGAGGCAGGCTGCTTGTGAACCTTGATATGTTCTACATTATTTAAAACTAAGTTCTTGAAATCCTTCTCTTCCATGTGTAAGGAATAGTCTTGCATCTCGCAGCATAATCTTATTCTTATACAAATGTGAGACCCACTGAGTTTATTGGAACATACTTTTCAGTACTAACACAAGTATATTGCTCAGGGTGGATAATTTTTTTAATAAAAAATCAGATTTTTAATTTAAGTTGGGTTTTTAAAAATAAAATGCTTTTTGTGGAAAAATCTACCTAAAGATAATTTTCTATTTAAGATACTTTATAGTTGAAAGGTTATTCATCATGAAATAAGGTGTAATTTTTAGTTACCCAGCACAAGGCTGCATATTCATACAATTTTTAAATTTTTTGGTAAGTGGATTCCATTAATCCATTTACAATGTCATGCTCTTCCAGAGGTTTCTGTAAGATTAATGAGCAATTATTCTGTCTAGAAGATATTATCATAGATACTTGGTAAATTTATGTCTGCAGAGATCACATGCCTCTTCTTCAAGGCAAAAACATTACAATCATACAGTGCTGAGAAAAAGACCTTAATCCCATTGTTCCTTTGCAAATCTTTGTACACAGAATCAACGTCTTACCTCCTAAGTGCTAAGTTTCAAAAATTTCAATGCATGGAAGATTGTTGGGAGTGGAATAGAAGCTCAAGAAGCTAAGTGTGAAGAGGGAGGGGCAAGAAGTAAAAATGAAAGCAAAAACCCTCTTTGAGCAGAATACTCCAAGTCTTCGGATCTTCTTGTGTATAGCCCGAGGTTTATCATATTACTCTTTCCCTGGAGGAGAAAACCTATAATGGCAGTAGGCTGTAAAAGAGACCCAGTTTGGGAATATTTCAGTGAAGTTCCTCTATCTTCTAGTAAGACAGGCATGTGTGCAAATTGTGTTGAAAACCATGATTTAAATCTAGTCTTACTGATTTAAATCAAATCCACTTTGACCTTGTTGGATGAGGCAAGGAGGTAGCATCTTTTATCCTAGCATGGCTAAACAAATGCTTCTGAGAATCCAACAAGCAGAGTATTAAGTCCCCTCATCATTGGTTTCCACCAAGCATTCAGTGGTATGCTGCCTTTGAACCATTAGAACAGCTATTTTGACTAATAACCATTTATGGATGTGCTGTACTGTGTATTTATTTGCCTAATTTTCTTTTAAAACCATGTAACCCTCACTAGATCTTGTGGCAAACAGTTTGGTAAATTATGTGGAAAGATTATATAATCTGTCTTGAATCTCCTGACAATCAGTTGTATTGGATGACCTTGATTTATAATGTTATAAAGGAGGTAGGCAAGTCTTTCTCTAACCTCTAACAGCTTTTCTCTACACCATGCATAACTGTATTACATTCTTCTCCTCTATCTTTTCCAAATGGAACAGTCCAAGTACTGTAGTCTTTCTTTGTAGGGAAGATGATTCAGATTTGTGTGGCTCTGATTTTCTGCACCATTTCCTTTTTGAAGGAATATCCTTTGAAATGAAGTGAGCAGAACTATAGAGCATTTGAAGTGTGGCCACACTGCAGATTTGTATAAGGGCATAATGATAATGACTTTTATTTTCAATACAGTTCTTGTCCTTAAATCCTTAGCCTACAACTTAGATTTATCCTAGGTACCACACATATGGTCATTGCCATTAAGCTAGCCTCGTGACACCAAAATTTATTTTCTGCTTATCTCCAGTTGAGATGGTATCAGTGTGATTACCAGAAATATCAGCATTAATTACAAGTTAATTGCATCAAAAATGACATCATTTTGTTGACTGTTCACTCAGTTTAAAGACATTTTTGGAGCATTCAAATAACATGATATTCATGAGCTTGGCAAACTTACTGCTCCCGCCTAATTCCAGATCTCTTATTAACAAGTTAAAAAGCAAGTTAATATAGATTCCATGAGAGCCCACTCTTTACTTCTCTCCATTATGACAATTGTCTGTCCACATTTTTAAGTGTCTTTCAGGCTGCAGCCTTATTTCCATATTCTTCACTGCTATACTGATTGGGGTGTCATCTTTTCTGTACTAACCTTGCACAGATTAATCACAATGTTTGAACCATAGCTGCTTACCTAGAAACACTGGAGCCAGGTCCTGGTGTTTGAAAAGGAATCATGTGAAGATGATAAATCAGCACTATTGAATTCCATCTCTGAGACTAATGCATGATGTGTTTGAGTCAGCATTCCATAACATTAACCAAACGTCTTTGATGGTTTTGATTTTCCTACTTCCTCCAAATACTTTATCACAAGTTTTATTGTAGGGATTATCATTCACTTCCTATTCTGTTCTTTGTGTCTCCATTGGCGAGTTGCTAATGCATGTGAATGATGTGGTACAAATGTAACATTAAAATGCAATTTACCATTGAATGAAGAATTTGAGCCTTAGGTTTGTACACTACCTTTCCGGTGCAGTCATTGAAAGCTTTGTTTTATTTTTAACTGAAGTTCAGCATTCTGTCTAAATTCTACATTGAGGTTAATAGCAGCTGTGGTTTACTGAAACAAGCCAACATCAAAACAAGGTTTGACTTGTCTGCTGGAAATAGTTATTAATGCTAACTACAGTTTGTAAGGGATAACAGTAAACTGCACTTAAATAGCATCTAATCTATGTGTGGCTGCATTAGAGGAACGTGAACTAGGCAAACTTTGGGTTCATTTACAAAGTACAACACTGTAGTTTAACATGACGCCCGAAGGAGAACATTCTCTCTTGATTTGGGGAAGAAACAGGTGTATGTACTACAGTCAGCATTTTTGTATTTCTACAAGTTGAGAATCTACAGCAGAAAGGCAGTTGTGTGACTTAAGCTAAGATTGAGATGAAGCGTTAGGTAGTCATTTACCACTTGGCATTCACCAAGTCAGAAAGGTGAGTGGCAAAGTGTTTGGCCTTGCTAGGCCATTTATTAACTCTTTCCTAAACAAAGGGTTTACCTTTGTTTCGTCTGTGGGAGAAAAAAGAAACATCAAAATGGTTCAAAGTGCAGTTATAAGAACTTACTTTCTTATTATTTTACTAATTTCTTATACTTAAAGTATATTTTCCATTAAGTTGTCATTTATTTAACCATCACAGCATACTAAAAATGGCAAATTGGTCAGCTGAATCAGAGTCTCATATCCGTCAGAATGCTTTTGTTGGTAGTATTTGCCATATGTATATACTGTCACTACTGTGCATGTTGTTTTACAGAGTAAAAAAAAACCAGGTCCTTCCTCCAAAGAACATAGGATCTACAATCAAGTGAAAGCATTAGATGACTTTTTTGTGCAGCACATGTAAATCTCTTTAATGGTACAATCCTATTTTTCTTAGTACAGAAAATGGTGGGAGTTGTAGGACTTTTTCTGTCTTAAGCATGCATAGGATTGTGTCTTTTGCCTCTAAATAAGACATTTCCTATTTAAAATTAATTTTATGTTTTAGGCCTTTTTGCCCATTATCTGCCAATATCTTAGGCAGTAACACACATACTATCAATGCTGAAAGTATCAACTTTCTTCGTTGTTGTGTAAAGCTATCTTCAGGTATGTATGCCTCTGATTGGATGTAGTCAATTTGCTGAACTAATATTAAGGAATTGTAAAGTGTGTGTTTCTCTGTCTAGCACCACAGTACCTTTGCATTTTTTTTCCTTTGGTCAATGTTGTATTTGGAGAGGTTTCATAAACTTAAATAATTTAAGATATTTTCACATTGAAGCTACTAACATGGAGTGATTTACTTGCACCAGACTTAGTTCCAAAACTTAACTGAGTCCCTCATATGGGTTTCCTAGACTTGGCAGGTCGGTTTTTCTTTGGTGGATGACTTCACAAGTCAACCATTCTTCTGGGACCCCACCCTGCTGTCAAGTTAAGAAATCTTTTCACTCAGACAGGATGACGCATCAGTGGGATGGCTGTTCACACACCAGAAAGGTGCTTGTGTTAGACAGGAACTTCCACATTCTCTGGAGGTATGTGTGCATGTGCACCTCTAATTCAAGGCTGTCCTATTTGTTCAACTAGCCATTAGGTGGCTGTAGCTAATTTAATATATTTGAATCTGTTTAGAAACATTTTGGCTTACCTGAATTTGTTTGTTTTTATAACTATGAATTGGTTCAGAATGAGGTTCCAAATGTAGTTTAATTATTTTTTAGGTAAATGGTATTAGTAGTTAATACATGGTTCTGCCTTCTGTTCAAATTGGCTGGAGGGAGTCTTTGCCTTATAGGTGGTGTTAAATTAATCCTGATTACTGCAAATAAATGTCAGCGTATTATGCCACATAGTTCAACCTCTGTGTTTACAGATAAAATGCATAATCACTTGGTCATGAACTTCTATGAGTCCGTACTAGTGCCACTGGTCTGCTATTCGGTGGCATTAAAATAACGTTAATATTCTTAGGCTTGTAGAAATGTACATAAGTGATATTACCCTTTTGGAAGAGCTTTAGCATAACAATTCGCAACTGAGGCTCTTGGGGTGAATGCCATTCCTGAGATCTACTGCCTGGCCAATCCATAGGTAGAAGTGGCATTTCTGGTAGACAGTTTTTAGGAAGCGGGGCTTGAAGCATCTAGATTTCTTTTGAGTTTCTCTCCAGTAATTCGAGTTAGTAATGAATCTGAGCAATCTCTGTTAGATATATAAGTCCGTGATGGAGGTGGTTGGGAATTAAAGAACCAAGAGAAATGTACCCTGGCTTTAAAGGTGTGCCAAGTAGTTCCTGAATGAACAATATAATCTGTTTTAAATGACTGAATAATATAGCATGAATGGTAATGATAGGACCTTGTATTCATTCTATGATCAGTATCTGAATGGCTCAGTGAAGGTTTATTGTGTTCATACAGATTTTGCATAAAATAGTATGAAGACAGAACGTTGTGATATGCCCTCACTTGTTTTTAAAAATCACACCTTCTGAGGTAATATAAATACTATAGGTTGTTGCAACTTAAACTGCATTCTCGCATAGGTATGGTCTCTTGATGCAGTGTAAACAAAGGAACAGACTGCTAACAATACTTCTATTTTTAGAGCTACAGTGTTTTACTTAGATGATACTGCAATAGGCTATGAATACATTTGCTTAAATATTCACCAGTAATTTTGTGGTTTAGGGAAGGGAAGGCCCTTAAATTATATTAATTTATGTTATATTCATGATAAGGGTTTATGTGAATGTGTTTGTATGCATCCTAGATAAGCATTTCAAATATAATATGGTTCAAGAATATTTTTAAGTGAGCCTTGCTAGAATAACGTAACTAGTGACTGAAGTCTTCTGACTACAAAATATGTGGAAAGGAAGTCCTAGCAATAGGGAGCTCTTTGTTCAGAAGTGTGGCTCTTTTCTGGGATTCCTCTTCTCTGAAAGTAACTGCTTCTCAGAACCATATGAAGTGTCGAGTCTTGCTTCTAGAAAGCCCAGTAATCTCCAGTATGAGAAAGGTTGAAGAATAAGACATAAGCCAGGTGTGTTTCAACCTGCCCTATGATTGCCCAGTTCTTGTGGTCTGTGGTCTCCTGAGTGAACTCTCTTGAAAATTAATTCAAAAGACTTTTTTGAAGAAAAAAAATTATGAAGGTGTCGGGGTGGGGGGGGGGGCAGAAGGAGATAGATCATGATGGTACATGGAGTGAGGCTGCACTGCATATTACTAATCTAACAGTGGTCCAATATAGTCTTGTTTTTTCCTCTTTTCCTCTTTCTCTTTTCCTTTTCCTTTCCTTTTCTGATTGAAAGCTATTCTCCTAATTCTCTGTACCTATAACTTCCTGTTTCTCAAAAGATCTTTCCATAGTTGCTACTTAAGATTCTTCAGTTGAAGATTCCAGAGAGCTAAATGCATAATCCTGTACATTCAAAGCATCTTCTTCCTCACTAAGCTATATAGAAAATATTTGGCAACTACTTCTTCCTTCTCTTTCTCCTCCTATATTTTTATTTTATACTGATAATTTTAATTTTGTATTTGTAAATCAATGTATTTTTTTGTATTTTTATATTTAATGGTAATTTATTATGTACTATTGTATTTCAATGTATTTTATCATGTTGTAAGCCGCCCCGAGGTTTTGGCAAGGGGCGGCATAGAAATGTAATAATAATAATAATAATAATAATAATAATAATAATAATAATACTCTTCAGTCAAGGTCTGCCCATCCAGCCATCAACAACAGTATTCCTGTGTTTACAGTCCAAATTTCCATTTAAGTGGTTGCATGCATGAAAAAGAAAGTAGTCAAACTGTGTCTTGAAAATTAATTATCACCAAATCAGTGAAAAGTAAGGTTGAAAGGATACGGAATTCAAAAGCATTAGGTAATATTGCTTTCATTTTTGGTAGAGGTTGTATACAGTTTATTCACACATCTGAAGTTGCCAGGTAGTAAATTAGCTTTATATATAAAAAACTTGGCTAGTGAATAACACATTAAATCTTTTGTATGGAATCTTTATCAGCTTAAAAAAAGTATACTTTTGTTTACAAGGCAAAAGACAGTTATTTATAGTTGTCAGATATACTCTAGAATTTTAACCTGTTTTTCTGGCTTCTGTTCTTTTCTAGGGATCTACTGTACTTGAAAACTTGCAGAAAAATTGTACCTTGTATATATTACAACACTATTATACCTGAAATTGTTTTCTTCTCGGGATGAAGAGAATCGGGCAGATAGTTAAAGATGAAAATCCAGTTCTTCAAGCAGTACCAAGAACAAAAAAGCAGAAAACTACTTTGCATAATGCATTATTTGACACTTCTCATTCTTATACCTTGATGGACTGGGGTAGCTTGCCACACCATGTAGTCTTGCACATCTTTCAGTGCCTGCCTCTTGTTGATCGTGCTCGTGCATCTTCGGTTTGCAGAAGATGGAATGAAGTGTTTCATATACCTGACTTGTGGAGAAAATTTGAATTTGAGCTTAATCAGCCTGCTACTTCATATTTAAAGTCTACTCACCCAGATCTTATCCAGCAGATTATTAAGAGACATGCAGATCACTTGCAATATGTCAGTTTCAAGGTAAAGAAGCTTGCTTTGTTTTATTCAAAGAAAAAAAGGGCAGTACTTTGCTGCTGCTGTGCAATGCCTTTGATCATAACAAGAACCATGTGGATCAGTCTGTGTTCCTGCATTCAGAGTGCCCTGCATAATAGGAGTGCAACAGCACATACCCTTCTGCCCAACTTCCCTAGCAACTGATGCACATGGTCATACTGCTAATACCTTGTGGAATATTAGGTGGGGTAGAAATCAAGTAATAACATAAACAATACCCAAGGTAGCATATAGCCACAAATGTACTTTTTGTCCATTAAATGTGTCCATTTTTAAAAGCCATCTAAATTGGTGGGTATTACTACATGCTGTAGAAGTAACTCCCTTAGTTTAACAGTGCATTCTCTTAAGAAATCCTCTTTATCTCTCCTGAATCTTCCTGCTACTCAATTTCCTGAGATGACCCAGCTTCTAATATTAGAGGAGCAAAATGTCTCCCTGTTAACTTTATCTACATCTGTCATCATTTTCTGTAGCTCTTTCATGTCTCCCCTAACGCACCTTTTCTCTAAACCAAATGATCTCAGCTGTTGTAATATTTTCTCGGAGGGGAGTTGTCTTCGATCATTTTAGTTGCCCTTTTCTGCTTTTTCTTCCAACTCTGCAATAGCTTTTTCTGGGTTTAGTCACCGGCACTGTACAACATTGTAAGGTACGGTATACCACAGTTTTGTACAAATGCAGGATGACATTTGCAGTTTTATTTTTGATACCTTTGCTTATTTTACCTAATATGAAGTTAGCCTTTTCACAGCAGCTGCACACTTGACAGCATTTTAATTATGCTGTTCTCTACAAAATGCTACCTCTGATCTCAACAGTTTATACCTGAGGTTGTGGGGGAGGGGGGGGGCGGTATTTGCATATTTACTTAGATTGAACTGCATTTGCTGTTTTGATGCCTATTTTTCCAGTTTGAAGATAATCCTTCTGGAGTGACTTACAAATCCTTTTTTCTTTAAATCACCCTAGACAACTTTGTGTCATCTGTGAACCTGGCCAGTTTGCTTATAATTCTTAATTGCAATTTATTTATGAATAAGTTGAAAAGCATTGATCCAGGTACAGATTCTTGCAGGGCCCCCGCTTTTTCCATCCTTCCATTGGGCAAATTTATCATTTATTCCTGCTGTCCATTCTTTTGTCGACTTACTGATTTATAAACAGTCCTTTCCTCTTAATGTATTATTCTGCTCCTTAGCCAAAAAGTCTTTCTCCATGACTGCTAAGATTTGAGCTATAGAGTCTCTGACAAGGCACTTTTTTTAAAGTAGCTGTTGATGCTAGTGACATGCTTGTGCCACACCAGAGACTCCACAGTAAATTAATAGTACCACACTAGAGATTGCCTATGCAAGCACTACATTGATAGCATAAGTTGAGCGGCAGTGTTGACTATCACTCACACTGCTAAACATTGCAGCTTGCATTTCAATAGCTCTGAACATTACAGATATTTTAGAATGTGTTCAGATATTTGGTAGAATACAGCCATTTGTAAACTTCGATATGCTTGCACAAGTCTACTGGGTTTTTTTTAAAGAATACAAATTTGTAAGGGCAATGTACTAACAGCTGCATGTTGTCAGTCCCAAGCTTCCCTAGGAGATGAGTATTAGCGGGTGTTGTGAACATGTGGATTCAGATTAATTGTTTTTAGTAAATAACACAATTGGTTAGAATATTTTCATGGAAGTTTTATATGAAAATATTCCTTAATGAATTGCAAGGAAGCTTGCTTGTGGAAAGCTGTTTAGTAGACTAAGAGGGAGTGAGTAATTCCAATATGGAACAGCTACCATTTCCCACCCTAACCTACAGATTGTGAAGATAAGAGAGGAATGTGTACATCACCCTGCCATTCAGCTCCACAGGTTTGGAGTGAGCAGTGGTTACTTGCAATCCGTTTTAAATTACCGTTTTGTGTGGGGAGCATTGCCATCTAATCCTTATTTATTACATTTTAAAATTGATGATGTCTGAGCAGTGTACAGATGAAAAACTCTGCCTGTGTCATATGTGTGCTGATTCTCAGGAACTCTTTGGATAACATTTTGGGACAAGATCAGCCTACTGGTCGAGTGACTAAGAAGAATTAATAATATCATAAGGCAGAATTTGGGAAGATCTGCCCAATTAAAAAAAAATGAGCGTTTGCCAGTAGGCTTCTATAAAGGAGCAGGAAGGTACTGTCCTACTAACTAATTCTCCAGCGTGTGTAATGCTTCAGTGAGTCTCTTCTTTTTCAGGTTGATAGTAGTACTGAGTCTGCAGAAGCAGCCTGTGACATCCTTTCTCAGCTAGTGAATTGTTCTATCAAGACACTAGGCTTAATTTCAACAGCAAAGCCAAGCTTCATGAATGTTTCCAAGGTATTCTTGTAGAGTTCTGAATATGAAGTTATGTATGCTTACGAAATTGAAAAAAATTGACTTTGCCTTGGTTTGTTATATAGTGGTACCTTGGCTCACGAACTTAATCCATTCCACGACACTGGTCTTGACCCAAATTGGTTGTGACCCAAGTCAAATTTCCCCATAAGATTCAGTGTAAATAAGGTTAATCTGTTCTGTAACTATTTTTTAATCAGAAAAATTTGAAACAAAGTGACAAAGAACAACAAAGTACTGTACAGTACAGTGGAGAACACTAACCTAGGTAGAGGGGGGGAGTTTATTGTTTTGAGGGAGAGTCCCCCTCCATAAGGACATTCGGGAGATCTCTTTCAGGGTTTCCTCTCTTTGTCTTTTAGCTGCAGGGTAAATTTTGGTGAAAAATCTGTCTTTAGGCACTTGCTTTTTCCTGCGCTGCATAACCCTCTGGAAATGAGAGACCACGTTATCGTTCATCAGATTCAACACTCTATTCATTACAGTTATGTTGAGGTGGTGCTTCTTAAAGAAATCCTGGCACTCATTCCATTTTTTCATAATGGATTGTATCACATCAGTGCTAACCTCCTCCCTGTCTTCCTCTTCCTCAGTGGAATCCTCAGCAAGTGCCTTCTGCTGCTCGCTCTGGAGTTCAGCAATTTCTTCTGTCGTTAGCTCCTCTATGTCTTCCCTGCACGAATGCAACTCGGGGGGGGGGGGAGATGGCCGCAATCTTGGTTGCCACCCAATGTGGAGTCCGCAACCCAAGTAAAAATTTTCATGTTATTTTTGTTTGTGACCTGATTTGGTTGTGAACCAAGGCATTCGTGAGCCAAGGCACCACTGTATTCAAAGAACTTGTAGTAAATAATACTGCCACACATTGGAAGAAAGGTATTCTTTATTTGTTCTTACAAGTTCAATCTACATTGGAAATCAGTGGCACTGATCTTTACATAGGAATGATTTTTGCCTGTTACCATGCTGGGTTGGAAGGTCCCTCAATTCTGTGGAACAAGTTGGGCTTGTGCACTGAAGGGGGAAATGCCAAAAATATCCCCTGCCTCTTCCATTAATGAAAGTGTTCACTCCATTCTTTGGAGCAATGCAATTGCATTTGACCTTATAATTTAACTTGAGAGATGTGATATATTCACATTTCAAATGATAGAACATGCTGACTGAAAATAATTCCAGGAATTGTGTTTAACCTTTGATTGCAACAGAAATGTTAGTGTTTTGAAGACTCATGTGTAAATCTACAAGTAAATCATAACAGTCTGCAAACAAAAGGAAAATACTAAATTTATAAATTACATTCTTCCAAGATGTTATACATATTAAGGGATTTTTTATATTGCATTTCATAGAGCAGAAACTTATGCTGTCTTTGTGAATGGCACCTTCCTCTTGCAGAAAATCACATTGATATGCTGAAATCTTCATTTGTCTATGTGAATATTTCAAATTTTAACATGCGGGCTTGCTGGATCACATAGAAAGTGGTAATATCAGCCCCTTGACAAAGCGCAGATTCATGTGAAAAGACAATTTTAATGTTCTTATATCTTGTAGATTGAATTGAACCATATACTGTTAATCTTTAAGCATATTGCGCTATTCAGCTTGATGGTGGCCAGTTTAAAAAGTTTATCAATTTGGGTATAGGCTGACTGATGCTTAGAGTAGACCCATTAAAATTAGTGAGGAATAAGTCATGCATGATCAATTAACTGGAAAGATTTTTTTAAGTGTCCATATGATAGTAATGACTGCATCAAATTGTTAGTCACTTACCTTCAAGGTATACATCTGTTAAAATCAAGCAACATATGCATTTTCCTACTCAAATATAGATGGAAAATTAAATACTACTTTCTGTTTTGAAAGAAATTGCTAAGTGGATACATAATTTTGCAGTGGATGCCAAACATTTTCTTCCTTGACTTTTCTGAATAGGCTCACTTTGTATCAGCGCTGACAGTAGTATTTGTCAATTCAAAGTCATTATCTTCCATAAAGATTGAAGACACTCCAGTAGATGACCCATCTTTGAAGGTACTCGTTGCTAATAATAGTGATACGCTAAAATTGCTTAAGATGAGCAGCTGCCCTCATGTGTCACCTGCTGGTAAGTAATAAATTTAAGAAGCAAACATAAAATCAAGCTGACACTTGATAATGAATTTGCTTTTGAAATGATATTGTTAAGTGGAATTTTTCATGCTTTTTCTTAATCTTGTTAACCTCTCATTTTACCAGGCTTAAAACATAGTTTTCTCTTTCTGGCAGAGAAAAATCTGTATTTATGTATTTAAATTATGGTTTAAATTCTTTCCAAATATTTTTTCTTCAAACGTAAATGCAGGGTTATCTAAAACAAAATATTTATTGAAAGAGATTTCCTTTAAACTACCCAAACCTGTGAGATGTTTCATTGTCACCTATAGTTTACAGATACATGCTTAACTGTGTCCATCAGCTACGTGCTTACCTGGGTGGGTGGAGCGTAACAAGAATAATCCATGCTTTGGTAACCTCCCAATTGAATTATTATTATACACTCTGTGTGGGGTTGCCTTTGAAAATGGTCTGGAAACTCCAATTGGTCCAGAAAGGGGCAACAAGGCTGCTAATGAGGTCTGGCCAACATGAACCCATTATGCCAGCTGTCTACCAACTCCATTGGTTACCAGTTGAAATCCAGTCCCAAGTTAAAGTGTTAACTTTGATATATAAAGCCCGAAACAGTTTAGGGCCTGGATATTTGAAGGACCATCTCCTTTCATATACATCTACTGGAACTCTAAGATCTTTCACTGAGGTCTTTCTTCAGGAGCCCTCTCTGAAGTAGGTTAGAAGTGTGGCTACCCGGAGAAGGACCTTTTCTGTGGTAACGCCCCAGCTTTGGAATTTGCTCCTCAGAGAGGTGTGTCTCTGTGCACTTTATTCTTTTTGGCACCAGGTCAAAACCTTTTTATCCACCCACTATTTTAAGGGTTGATTATTTTATCATATACTTAGAATTACTTTATTGTATATTTTATGTATTATATTCATATTTTACTGTGCTGTTACACTCTGGTTGTAAGCTGTCTTGAGATCTGGCCAGATAAAAAGGATAGAAATGTTTTAAATAAATAAACTACAAAACTTAACATAGTTTTGCTAGTAGCACATAGTTTTCTGCCACATTGTATTTATTGGAATGTTGGAGAGACTAAATTCATATTATCCGAATGATGATCTAACCAAAGAACTACCTCATCAGCACAGTCTGTATGTTATATAGTTCATAGTAATGGGATGTTTTTTGTTCTTGTTTATGCAAGACCTGGATGCCTCAGGTCCACCTGTCAAAACATTATTATGCTATATTTGTGGCATGTTGCCATTTTAGGATGCAGGGTTGTACAAGTTATTCTTCAGCTGTGATAGCATAAACACAGCTACTTAACAAATAGTTTGAGGAGCAAAACTTGAATGAGATTAGTTATTGGAAAACAGTTACAAAATCATTGTCCTATTCTACATGCACCTCAGAATTTTTGTAAGTTAAACTTCATTGCTTGTTTGGTCAGTATCTCAGAAAATTCAGTGTACAGAACCATTATTAGGGTAAATAAAATTGTGTAGTTCAGTGTTAATAGAGTTATTGCAAGGCTATTTGTATGCAAAATGAAAACATTTTCCTGAATATGCAGACTGGAACTTCCAATTAAGTGTTACTGACTAGCATTGTTTGAAACCCAGACAGCAGTCTAGAATGACTGCTAAAATGTCATTTAGCAGTGTACAGAACTTTCTAACCCAGAAATCTCACTGTGCAAAAAAGGCCTATATATAACCAAGCAGTACATTATATTTTTCAAACTGATATAGTGGCAAAAAATTCCTGGCCTTACAAGTACCTAACCAGCACAGTCCTAAATATTTCCAGGTGTGAGATTGCAGCCTAATGTTGCTTGTTTCTGATAAGTCTTGTGCCCAGGAATTATGTGGGGGGGGGGGGGTCCCATTATGGTAGAGATAAATGTAAATAGATGTTGATACTAATTTGTTCTGAATTTTGCTTCTTGTCATTTCTAGGGATTCTTTGTGTTGCGGACCAATGTCATGGCCTAAGGGAACTTGCTCTTAATTACTATCTGCTAAGTGATGAATTATTGCTGGCCCTTTCAAGTGAAAAGCATGTTAATCTTGAACACCTCCGCATAGATGTTGTGAGTGAAAATCCAGGACAGATTGAGTTTCATGCCATCAAAAAACAAAGCTGGGATGCACTCATTAAACACTCCCCCAAAGTCAATATTGTGATGTATTTTTTCCTGTATGAGGAGGAATTTGATGCGTTCTTCAAGGAGGAGACTCCAGTAACTCATCTTTACTTTGGCCGTGCAGTAAGCAAAGCAATGCTTGGCCGTATTGGAATGAATTGCCCAAGGCTGATTGAATTGGTTGTCTGTGCTAATGGCCTTCAACCCTTGGATGATGAGCTAATTCGCATTGCTGAACGCTGTAAGAATCTAACAGCCATGGGACTTGGTGAATGTGAAGTCACATGTCGCGGCTTCATTGAATTTGTAAAGATGTGTGGAGGCAGACTCACCCAGCTCTCCATTATGGAGGAGGTGCTTATTCCAGACAGTGACTACAACCTCGATCAAATTCATTCTGAAGTTTCCAAACATCTCGGAAGATTATGGTTCCCTGATATGATGCCAACATGGTAAACTGACAAAAGATGATTGCGGTCAGAACTGGCTGTACAGAGTGTTGCTTTCTATGCAAATAAGGAATACTAAATATGAAATGTACTGCAGTATTTTCCTTAATAACCTGCATAGTTACAGTGCTATGCCACATTAAAGATGGAAAAGAGTATATTGAAGTGTACAGTACATATTGACGATATGTCTATTAAGTAATAAGTGCTTAGTTTATCCTCCAATTAATTGGAGTATTTTAACTGATTTGTATTTAATTGTTAAGCACTTGGTTTAATAAAAGGTACTACAGTACTAGCAATTCTGATGTAGCTAAAGTTTGGCCTTCTTTGTAAATTTTTGACCAATGGATGTCAGGAGCTTGCAGTTTAAGTGCTGTTTCTCCTGTTTCTTTAATAAACAGTGGTAATGTACAAACTTGTAAACAGTAGCAACTTACTGTGTCAAGCTTGAGACCTTACAGTGTATTAGTACATTGGCAGATTATGAGTTCATGCTACAGCAGGACAACTATGTAAATGTGTGGTGTCATTGTTTCCTTACTTGCTCTTACAGTATAATGTGGTATGTAAATAAAACATTGATGTGGTGGAGCTCACGATGATGATCTTATCTAATCCCAGTTCTCTCCATTTGGTTGTGCTGGCTAGGACTGGTGGTAGTTCTAGGTTAGGCCAAACCATCTGGAGGGCCATGCAGGATCAGGGCTAATGTCAGTGTCACAGGTAATTACCATTACTCCAGATCAGTGAATAGGGCATGGCCTAATAACCTTAAACACTCAGGAAAGAAGTTTGGCAGGTCTGCATTTATATCATAAAACCGATTTGATCTTTGCTGTTGGTGTTCCTTCCCTGATGAATTAAGCATTGTGTGTCAGGTCTAAGTTAGACTTTTGAAAAATCAAATAGGAAACCTTTCTTTAGATTGGGTTGCTTGAGGCTACAGGTGCTGTTTGAGTGTTTAGAATCTTCTGCCATGACAATACTTGCATTTTAAAAATGAACATGGCTAAAAGAAGGTGTTCCCAGTCTGCTGTTTTTCTCTGTGCTAGGCATGTCATGGGGAAGATTGATTCAAACTCTTGGCCCCTCTAGCTTGAAGTTGAGAGGGCCATGAAAAGTTTTATCATTGTTTTCACTCAGTGACTGGATTTACACATCACAGCAAACAACCTTGTGCAATTTCCATGGATCCTGGGTTTTTGCCTGGACCTGTCACACCCCCTGCTTTATCTTTCTCTTCTCACCATGCATCACAATAGCCAAATTCCCTTCTGTACTGCATGCTGTGTCATGTCATCAGGATTCAGACAGCACCCATTGTGAGTCATGACCTGCAAAAAACCACTGGTGGTTCTTGGAGGCCAACCTTACTAAGAACCAATAGTTGCAAGCATAGGTGGGGTTTGCCCAACACAACCACCAACTAATATTGACTGGTGGTCATATCATGCAAAACCAGTCTGTAAAAAGGACAGAGTAGAACTCTTGCTTAATATCACCCTTTGTGCCCAGGACAAAATAGAGTTACAGCTCATTGTTCTCCATCCTATCCAAAGCTAAATGGGATAGAGAAAGCAACATAAGCCAATTAAATCCTTATGTGAGGATTTTCTTACATAAGTTAAAAACCTAGAAATAATGCTGACAGTAATGGTCGCATTTGAAAGAGACATGTCATCTCGCTATCTGAATGATCCAAAACTAGCTGAATCATTCCGTTGAATGTTGTAATGATCTGTGTGCATATGGCTAACCACACCATAGAAACAGTGCAGGGTTGTTTACTGTGTCATGTGAACCCAGCCATTCTATTGCATAGCCAGCTTGGTTCAGTAAAAGATTGTATTTTAGAAGCCCTTCGGTCCTTATCTGCTGAAAAGAGAAAAATGGAAATAGATTTTAATGACAACTGGCATGAAATGCTAATAGGGAGTGTGGGGGAGGGGGGAGATGGATCTCATCAAAATCACAATACATTTACTTGGTAATCTGTTCTCTACCTTAAAGAAGATCCCTTTGTTTTTAGATGATCTGTCTTCATTGTGGGACCCTGGAAATGGTTAAAGGTGCAATCTCATGTAAGCTTAGATAGGGGGTATCTTACAATTCTTGGGATTTCCCAGCTAGCATGCTGGGTGATGCAGAACTTTCCTATGTATAAATACAGGATTGCACCCTAAATTGGTTACATTTGAGTAACACATTTATCATCAAGTGTACCACAAATAAAAAATCAAAATAGTATCAGTTAATCCAAGCATTGTTTATTTTTAATACAGAGTTATAAATAATAAACTCAATAGGATGGGCTTTGCTTCAGTAAGAAGTATTTCTTATCTGTCAGGAACACAAATGATTGTAAACTTCCCATCACGGATAACTCTACAGATACTTGAAAATAAATATGAATTATGTCTAAACAATCTGGATTTCAAATTCAGAATATACAGATTCTCTAGATTTAGGCTTACCAGAAAAAAATTAAATGAAAAGTGAAAAGAGATTGAGCATGAAATCTCTGATCAAAACAAAACTTGCAGATTTTGTGCCCAGTGGTACACCTAGCAGGTTAGCAAGAGGGCAATTACCTTTCCACATACATTGGCATGCAGAGAGTGCTCTGCCATGTGTCTGCTGCATGTATCAGTGGCATGCGCATTAACCAAATGGCTGTGGGGCTATGCAGTGCATCCCCCTTCATGTGATCCCAGTGAACCACCCTAGGATGAAAGTGCATTCAGTGCTGAAAAGTTGTGACTACAGTCCTGAAAGAGCTAAGTCAAATAAAAAGGTTGACAAAGAAAGGAGCTTCCTGTTAGGTGCTCCCTGAAGAAGAAAATTCTGCTAGGGAAAGTTGAAGCCAGGAGGAGATGGAGATGATGACGATGGCCAACGGTGAGATGGATCAATTCCATGAAGGAAGCCACAGCCTTGAATTTACAAGAGGTGAGCAGGGCTGTCAAAGACAGGACATTCGGGATGGCTTTCATTCATAGGGTTGCTTTAAGTTAAGATGATTGATGGCACATAATATCCATGGATTGTTTTTGTAGGAAGCAATTTTGTAGGTAATATATGGTGCTCTCACTACGTAACTTGGAATTGAGCAGAGGAAGTCTTTGGGAGAAAGGGAAACAACACGTTCCACTTGCAGACAGTCCTGGCTATGTAGTCTCTTCTGAGCCCTTCTAATTAAAGCATCCCCAGATAACAAGCTGAAGGTGGCATTTTCCAAGGCAATGCACACCACTGAAAAAGTGCATCTAGCATTTACGTTTTACACACATCAACTGGTCAACCCAAAAATGAATAGCCTTGTGGGAAGTAAATCAGAAGCTGTCCTTGTGAACCCACATATGAAGTGCACATGGGGCAGCATTTACTCCATGCTTTTCATGCAGAAGTGCCCAGGTTCAGTCTGTGTTATTTCCAGGAAAAAGATGGCATGTCTAGTGTAGCACTCAAGAGCCTGAAGAAGCACATTGCTCCCCAAGGCTGTTCTTGACGGACAATCAATCATTTGTAACAACATCTGTGCTCACAAACTCCTTTGCATCACACATCCTCTGATTTCCTCTTTCACTTCTGAATGTGTAGCAAAGTACACTTTGCTATTTTATTCTAACAGTCAATAGGATGTTGTTTAAAAGTACTTAATCTTTAAGAGGAAAATTTTCTCCCCAAAAATTATTTGCCAAATTGCACATACATATAAAAAGCATTCTGTTTGTATAGACATATGCAGATGTGCATACACATACACTCACACAATGAGCCTGCCTACATTTCACAAGCCTTTTTTTTTTTTTTTGTTCTATCTTTTCATCTCTACACCTGCTCCACCTCAGTTTGTGTTGGCCAGTCCAACAGCTGAGACACAGCTGTCCTTACCTTATGGTCAAAAAGAATGTATGCAAATTGGCATCTGCCATACTAGAAATCATTTGTGACGTTTGGGCAGTTGAACTGAAACTGTTGGGTTACCATTATGGATGTAAACAGAAGACAGCAGTCTAAAGTATTCTCCCAAAATCCTCCTCCAATGTACACTTTCCGGTGTCATTTTGCTCTTGCTCATTACTCATAGTAGTTGTTTTCTACGTGAGCCAGTCAATCAGAGAAGATTTTAATTCATGGCTGCATAATGTCAATCAGATCTGGTCATGTGTTGTAATCTCCTGAATGATTACCCTTTTGAGCAGGGTGCATTTCCCAGGGCATGCGCCTCCCCCCCTCCCCCCTTAAACAGGTCTCTAATCAACAGCTCTGGTGTGTGATCTTTTGGCTATTTTGGCTGAATTTTCCAGGGACATTGCAGGATGCAGGGATTGCAGAGATAGATTGCAGGGATTGCAGAGATAGAGGATTCTTGAAGGGATGCTCTGTTATGCCGTGTGCACTTGCCTTAGGCCTAGAAAGTCCTAATTTTTAAACGTGCATTTCTGCACTGCTCTTTAGCCAAATTGCTGGGAGATTTCATTCATTCATTCATTCATTTTTATACCACCCCTTAGTGGAATCTACCTGGACACTTCACAGCTCTCTCACTGTGAATGCAGTATCTTACTGTCTCATTTTATAAAAACAAAACCTCTATATAACTACAGAGATAAAATGGAAGTAAGCATCACTCCCAAGCTGTTCAAACCAAGTTTTAGGGATACGGATGCATTCTCGGAATTGACCTATACAGCCAAAATGAGAGATTCCACTGAAGCTGAACTCGTGGCAGTGAGTGTGCGTTCAGTCAACTTCCCTGTGTGAAGTTGACTGAGTGCATTCCTGTGGGGCAGTAGACTCTGTGGCATGCTCTGGAGAAGAAATGGTTTGAAAAGGGACATCCAGAATGTTCACTGCAGCTGACACAGTCTTAGTTTGGCTGATAAAATACTGTGGTTATATTCAATACTCGTCAGCAGGGGGAGCAATAGATCACAGTTTGTCCTTGCAATCAATTCCCCCCCCCCCCGTGTATTCCATAGGTTGCATACGTGATTATTTATTTCACTTATTTATTTCATTTCTATACCTTTCAATAGCCGTAGCTTTTGCTGGTCTTATATAATTATAAAATTCAAAATTAAATTAACTGCCATACATTTTTATATCACAAAGGTATGACACAGAATTCGGCAATACAGTCCAGTTTAACCTTTTGGCCAGAATGTTGACTATAGCAAATATGCACTGGTGTTTTAAAAACAATATTGTCATAGATACATTGACCAGCTGTGTTACCATAGCACAGATCTGCACAGGGGAGTTAGCTGGTGCAGGACTTCAGACTGTTGGACTTGGACCTAAGAGAGTCGGAGAGCTGGTTGATCTAAGCTTGATTTGCTTCAAGGAGGCAAGTGGCACCTACCCATGTTCCATGCAAAAAAGCTGGTCGGACTGGCTGTTTTCACAATTTCTCCCTTCTCTTTCTAGCCCCAGGTTCCTTTTCCTCCCTTTTCTATTTACAGGACTCTTCACTAGGGTGAGTGCGAATTTTATTCTGTACAATTTTAAAATAAGAACTTAGCAAAATTTGTTAATTTCTTCAGTAACCGAAGGCAAAGAATTTGAAACATAAAATGTGAATATGG